TTTAGACGTGAGCGCACAACTCTGTAATATTTCTGGACAACAAGGAGCCTGCATTGGCAAAGTTAATACGGGACTTGACACGTGCAGTGGTTACAGCATCGCCAATTTTTGAGCCAGACTCCCCGATTCGTATATTTTCATTATAATTATCATTATTGTTATCATTATTACCGGGGCCCAGCCGAAGGCTGGCACCGGTCTTAAAATGCAGACGGTCCGTTTTTTCAACGTTACATTGTTAGGGATATATCGCTGACTGAGATATATCGCTGGCTCATTGAAATCTTAGCTGCCATTTTGAAAAGCACAATACAATACAATACAATACAATACAATAAGAGTTTATTGTGAAAATACACTTAGCTACAATAATGGTGTGCTTTCACATACGGAACCGAAATCGGGGTCAGTGAAAGCACGCCAGCTAATTTACAGGTATTCCACGAGGCATGGAGGACAGTCAAGAGAAAGATTATAGCTTTTTGGGGAACGACACGTTCCCCAACCTTTACCATGCACTAGTTTATGAGCGAAAATTTAAGAGTGAATATTTGGAGAGACAAATTTACGAGCGATCACTTAAGAGTGAACCTTCCATCCTGAAACTTATCGAGAATAAAAGCGATTTATCAAAGCTATCTACATTGAGTGAACCTTCCATCGTGAACTTTATGGAGAATCAAAGCGAACACTTATCAAAGCTAACTTTATATCATCTTAAAAAACGTGCTACAAGGCGACCTAGAACCTAGAACCGAGCAGAATTCCACTGCTATTTCTAAGAGGTCTCAACTAGAAGAATAGCATGTTGAAGAAATTTGTCTTCAAAAAGATTTCAACGATTTATATACCGAGGTCTTCAAAGCTCCATCGCTGTGTTAATAAGGTGAGAAATCTTTATCATGCAGCACGATATAAATGTAATAACAAATGCGATCGAAAGATAATTAACTTAAATAAAATGGCTATACCCAAGAAAGCTTATTTGTTGTCTTTCTTTAGCAGACATTATCACAGGATAATGAAAAAATGTAAAGCACGTCGATATTTATCATTGTTTTCTTGCAATTTTGTGAGTCATATGACCAATTATGTGAATTTCAAACTAAGTAAAGATGTTGAGAAGAATGCCAGGACCTACGCAATACAACACTGATCATCATGAAGTAATAATTAGACATTCTATGCAAAATCACAGCTCAACAATGCAGTTGATCTCTCTTATTTCCTCTGAGAATTTGGTGCAGTCAAGATTAGGTGAACTTGGTTTACAATCAATAGATGTTGACGGTGCCGGTGATTGTTTCTTTAGATCTGTATCACATCAATTATATGACAATAACAACCAGCATATGCATATACGTACTGCGGGGGTTCAATTTATGAGAGACAACCCAGAGAGATTTATTGACAGCAATACCGAAAATTCATAGCTAAGATATCTGAATAATATGTGTATTCAAGGTACATGGGCTGAGGCACTTATCATTCAAGCAGTTGCAGATTTATTAAATGTTACTTTACAAATAGTAGAATCTAATCAAGGCTTTGCACCACTTACTACTGTTTAGCCAGTTCAGGAAAGAAATACTTCCTCTACAATTACTATAGGTTATATCGATGAATGCCACTATGTATCAACCACTGCCTTACGATCAAATGCCTCCATTTCAATGTGCAATGAATTAACAAATGATACTCAGTCATCAATAATTAAGCATTTTCTTATGTCCATATGTGCAGTTTGTTTCTCTGTCATCAAATCATGCACGTAGGGACTTGTCAGAAATTAGCAGGGGGGGAGGGGGGTGGAAACAGAGGGAGAGTCACACTGCAGAAAAGGGAGGGGTCATGAAAAATGGGTCGTTTAAAAGGGGAGGGTCATGCAAATATATGCCCATGATCATGTAGAGGTTCACCCACAGAAGAAAAAGGAAGTTCTTTATTCTGTCAAGTGATCAGCTGTCAGAATCAGAGTCGGACTCTTAATGCTGTCATCTAAAATGTATGTGTATAGCTATAGCATTACAAAGAACAGGTTAGAAATATATTTTAAGTTTTCATAATACTGAGTCACTCTAGTGTATTGCAAGAACTACGATTTTCTCATTTATACAATAGGGGGAGGGCCATGATATTTTAGGCTAAGCTCAAGGGGAGGGTTAGCAAATTTCACTCCCAGTGCAGGAATGGGTCACCTCATTTCCGAACCCACATTTCAAATTCCCACCGCCCCTCCCCCCCTGCTAATTTCTGACAAGTCCCTTACTGGGATTCTTCAACACTACAGGCTCTCCATGAACATGCATGTTTGCTCTATGAGAAGTGTAATGCAGACCGTGTAGGCAAAATTGTGATAATTCTGTAACAAACTTCTTTGCAAACTTTGTCATTACCATTCAACCCAAAACTGTCAGTGATTTTTGCTCTTTCACTCGAACTTAAAAACAAAAAAAAACCTTATACAGGTCACACTTACTGACATCACAGTGCAAAAACACTACTATAACACAGACCGTTAGCTGTCATAACACTGAACCGAAACTTACAACAACATCCTTTCTCATACATTTTGTTGCTTTTCTTCTGCATGAGTTAATTCAGACTAAGTATTAGCCTCCACAGAGGAGGGGGAAGGGGTGCGAGAGGCAAACTATAGCTATGCAATCCCGTGTCGCACTGGGCCCCGGTAAGTTCCACGTAGTGGTTCTAGTTACTCTTATTGTCATCAGTTGAGTGGCGTTTGTTGGGTGAAAGGATGAAAAACGAGATCCCCTAAAAACGCCTGCGTGGGAGGCTGGGGACAGCAATTAACCTTGGTGAATTCGTGTCAAAAAGCCCTCCTAGGGGCTAAGTGTGAGCCGGGTAAAAGCTCCAGTTGAGATGAGATTGAAAAGACGATAGGGGAAGAGTTCCACCTTTCGCTCTTTTTTCCTGTTTTCTTCCATGTTCGTGCTAAGCGTCTACAGACTCTGGCACCAGAGGGAGGGCACCAGGGTGTTAGATATCCCTTTAAAAAAAAGCTATCAATTCCTTCCAGAAATAGTAGTAAACCACAGATCACTAGAACTTCCTCCGTAATCACAGGAAGTTGATTGTTGACAGATATTATTATTGGATTCGATTTCTGACAGTTGCTTGATTTTGATTTTGCTTGAGTTTTTTGATTTTGATTTCTCGTTTTCTAGCAATACACACATATCAGCAGGCTATCTGCTAATTTCATCTTTCAAGCATTTCAAAGACGAGAGAAACATAGCTAATTCTACCATTCCATTATATCTTCCGATTTCCTTAAATTTAACTGTTTATCATTATTACTCTTATTGTCATCGGTTGAGTAGGCGTTTGGGTGAAGGGATGAAAAACGAGATCCCCTAAAAACGCCAGCAAGTGAGGCTAGGGACAGCTATTAACCTTGGTGAATTCGTGTATCAAAAGCCTTCCTAGGGGCTAAGTGTGAGCCGGGTAAAAGCTCCAGTTGAGATGAGATTGAAAAGACGATAGGGGAAGAGTTCCACCTTTCGCTCTTTCTTCCTGTTTTCTTCCATGTTCGTGCTAAGCGTCTACTGAGTCTGGCACCAGAGGGAGGGCACCAGGGTGTTAGATCTCTCTTTAAAAAAATAAGCTATAAATTCCTTCCAGAAATAGTAGTAAAGCTGACGAATTTTGTACCGTGGATAAATAAAAATTATCTATCTATCTATCTGTCTATCTATCTATCTATCTATCTATCTATCTATCTATCTATCTATCTATCTATCTATCTATCTATCACTAGAACTTCCGCCGTAATCACAGGAAGTTGATTGTTGACAGATATTATTATTGGATTCAATTTCTAACAGTTGCTTGATTTTGATTTTGCTTGAGTTTTTTTATTGTGATTTCTCGTTTTCTAGCAATACTGATTCACATATCAGCAGGCTATCTGCTAATTTCATCTTTCAAGCATTTCAAAGACGAGAGAAACATAGCTAATTCTACCATTCCATTATATCTTCCGATTTCCTTAAATTTAACTATTTATCTTTATTACTCTTATTGTCATCGGTTGAGTACGCGTTTGTTGGATGAAGGGATGAAAAACGAGATCCACTAAAAACGCCAGCAAGTGAGGCTAGGGACAGCTATTAACCTTGGTGAATTCGTGTATCAAAAGCCATCCTAGGGGCTAAGTGTGAGCCGGATAAAAGCTCCAGTTGAGATGAGATTGAAAAGACGATACGGGAAGAGTTCCACCTTTCGCTCTTTTTTCCTGTTTTCTTCCATGTTCGTGCTAAGCGTCTACTGAGTCTGGCACCAGAGGGAGGGCACCAGGGTGTTAGATCTCTCTTTAAAAAAATAAGCTATAAATTCCTTCCAGAAATAGTAGTAAAGCTGACGAATTTTGTACCGTGGATAAATAAAGATTATCTATCTATCTATCTATCTATCTATCTATCTATCTATCTATCTATCACTAGAACTTCCTCCGTAATCACAGGAAGTTGATTGTTGACAGATATTATAATTGGATTCAATTTCTAACAGTTGCTTGATTTTGATTTTGCTTGAGTTTTTTGATTGTGATTTCTCGTTTTCTAGCAATACTGATTCACATATCAGCAGGCTATCTGCTAATTTCATCTTTCAAGCATTTCAAAGACGAGAGAAACAGTTAATTCTACCATTCCATTATATCTTCCGATTTCCTTAAATTTAGCTGTTTATTGTTATTTTAATCGGTAATACCTGTACAAAATGGTAATACTGAATAAACTTGTTGTCGTTATTGTTGTTGTTGTCATCGTTATGCATTTTATACGTGTGACGTATTGAATTACCGATCTTATAAAAGAGTGGCTGAAAGAGCAAACATACTCTTAACTTGGACGGAAGCTCGTGGGCGAAGCTCGTTCTTTCGCAAACATCTTCCTCCTATAAAACTAGAGTCGTAATCAGGTTCTATCCACAGTCCATCCAGTAAACTGCTTGTGAGGATCAAGCGACAAGCTGAAATGAAGACTGTATTCGTGATATTTGCTGCGTTAATGGTTTGTTACGCCATAACTCTTGTTGAGAGGTGAGCTTGTCACTTAGATGGTTTGTTTGTATTTGCTGATACTGCATTTAGGTCCAATCTCCAAATATGATGACCACACTTCTTTGCCGGCGCGAAAAAGTCATTCTACGTGCATGATGACTTCGGGTGCACCCAACGTCAATTTTCGGAAAATATCTGTTTGGAAGACGATTTGAGATCTAGAATTTTCGGAACATTTGTCTTGTAATTACAGTCAAACCAGGTCAAATGTCCCATCACTAGCAAACTAATGAATTCATTAATGGAAAAATGATTTCGTTTGTTGATTCAATAATCCATTCATAGAATGAATAATCCAACAATCAAATTGGACCTCGATTCAATAATTAAATATTGATTTGGTTTATTAACAAAATCTACCTGTTCTTTATTCTTGTCTGTTGAGTTCAATCGTCTTTTCTTCCCTTTTCCTGCCGTTTACGACTGCGTTTGTAATTGCCTTTAATCAAAATAACAGCTAGAAGAGACAGACCGCAAACACAAAGAAACTGACAAAGGCCGGGGATCGAAATCCACCAATCACAGCACATACACTGACCTTAGTTTCGCTATCGTGTTTCCTGAGAGGTCAGGTCCGTTGCAGTGAATACTGGAAACAAAATAACGTACATGTAACAGTTTGTTTGGGTTTGAAATTCAGAACTCGCCCGAACTCGACTCTAAGAAAAAGAGGGGAAAAAAAAAGTGTAGTTTTTCTAAAAACAGTAATCGAATCAACATTCGATTATGGAATCGAGGCTAAATATGAATATTGGATTGTTCATTTTATGAATGGATTATTGAATCAATAAACGAAATCATTTTTCCGTTAATGAATTTATTAGTTCGTTAGCGACGGGAACGCTTCACCTGGTTTGACTGTAAAATTTCTTGCTTGCCTGCCTCTCCTAGGATTTTCGAACTTCTAAAAAATGGTATAATTGCCCATTTTTAACGGATTTTTACCCTAAAAAGGTCACCTACAATTTTCGGGAGCGCTTTTTTTGGCTGAAATTTTCGAAAAGGTAAGTTTTGATCCCTATCATTTGTTTTCGGATCACTAGACTTTCAGGTAGGAAATCCGAACAGGTGAAAAATTTTTAGGGGATAGGAATATGCCTATATCTACCGTCTAAATACTAAAATACGTTTAATAACGCTATGTTTAAGTGCCGTTTGAACTATATTCTCGTTGGGTGCCCCTGTGACTTTAGCTGACCAATGATCGTAACGGGGATTTAGGCCTCTGCAGTTGGGGCTTTTCTTTTTGATGAAAAGTCACAGAGTTGAAGCTGAAATCGCTGTAAGTTAACTGAAATTTCCGTAAAATTAAGTATAAGTTTTTGAAAATTCAGTTCTACGTGTTGGATTTTTGCATAGAAGTGTCCGATCGTTAAACGTCATCCGTCAATTCAATAGAACAATTGCACGATGACGATATTTGACTACAACTACCAGAATTCATTTCGGTTTTGCTTTGTTATTTAAATTTGTCAATCCCGGTGAGGATTAAAGAACAATAGCCTTAATTTGCACAAGAAAACAACAAGCTCAAGGATTCTGGTAGTTGTAGTAAAATGACGTCATCGTGCAATTGTCCTATTGAAAGCTAGTATTTCACGACACTCTGAAATGTCGCCATGCGTCTACTCACTCCTCCACGCGAACAGATTGTCTTGTTCCCAATTAATCATTCCATTCCAAAGACTACCGAATTTTTAAAACATTTTGCTAAATAGTGCATATGAAATTGTCTATTTTTAACGGATTTTTAGCCAAAAAAGGTCACCTAGAATTTTCTGGAGCCTTTTTTCTGGCTGGAATTTTCGCAAAGGTAAGTTTTGATCCCTATCATTTTCGGATCACTAGACTTTCAGCTAGGAAATCCGAACAGATGAAAAATTTTTAGGGGATAAAAATATTCCTATATCTACCGTTTAAATACTAAAATACGTTTAATAACGCAATGTTTAAGTGGTTTGAACTATATTCTGTGACTTTCGCTGACCAATGATCGTAACGGGGATTTAGGTCCCTGCAGTTGGGGCCTTTCTTTTAATTTTTGACGAAAAGTCACAGAGTTGAAGCTAAAATCGCTGTAAGTTAACTGAAATTTCTTAAAATTAAGTATAAGTTTTTGAAAATTCAATTCTACGTGTTGGATTTTTGCATACCGTATTTATTCGAATAAGCGCCCAACCTCGAATTAGCGCCCACCTTGAATAAGCGCCCATCCTAAAGGCAGAAAAAGTTAATAAGCGCCCAGCCTCGAATAAGCGCCCACCCCCTCCTCCTCCCAATCAAACTCAAATAAGCGCTCACCCCCACCCCACCCACTTGAGTGAATAAATTTTAGTGAGAGACTTCCCCGAGGACGGAGTTTTCTTCAGAGTATTTTACAGAAGCCTTGCTTTGTTACTTCTTCGCGTTTTGTTATTAGCATTTATTGTTTTGTTGCAAAATAAACATACTTCACTTGCTGAAAATGGTGAAAATTTAATAAGCGCCCAGCCTCGAATAAGCGCCCACCTCGAATAAGCGCCCACTCTCAAGGTCCAAAAATTTAATAAGCGCCCAGGGCGGTTAATCGAATAAATACGGTAGAAGTGTCCGATCGTTAAACGTCATCCGTCAATTCAATTGAAAGCCAGTATTTCACGACACTAAATGTAGTCATGCGTCTACTCACTCCTCCAGGCAAACAGATTGTCTTGTTCCCAATTAATCATTCCATTCCAAAGACTACCGAATTTTTAAAAACATTTTGCTAAATAGTGAATATGAAATAGCACACATCACTGAAAGTAATCAGTATCGAAGGGGTTTCATCAGTGCACCAAAATGCATATAGGCTTTTAAAGAAGAAGGGTTTTAGAATAAAATGATACTTGTAAACGATACGTTATATCTCCTGATATCTCATGATTTAAAATCTAATTTTGTTTTTTTAACATGGCGAAAGCAAATCAAAACAGAGGAATCCCCGTTATCGCTGAACTTCTCGAGGACTTTGCCCAAAGGGAATAGCTTATCTTAGAAGATGAACGTTTAGTCTTTAGCCCTTCTTTGCCTTTTTTTAAAACTTTGAACCTCAATTTGCAGTATTTTATCCAGCCATTTAGGGATAATTGAGGCGACAAGAGCTCGGATAGAAGCTCTCAAAGGTGCTTTTAGAGCGTGCCGTGATAGCTGATTACGCGAATCAAACAAAAGTGTGCGCAATTTCGCCTTTTTTTTTTCGGCAAATGGTTTTTCTTCAAACCAAGTATTTTAAACGGAAAGCATATAAGTAATTTTGGTTTCTTAAAAGACAATTTTTTTGAATGCACTCACGCTGGGACTCGTTGAAAGTTATGAGTGTTGTGAGCCTAGACGTCCTGTCTGAGAACAGGAAGGGGTTAACATAGCCTCCCACGCAGGAGTTTTTAGGGGAGCTCGTGGAGAGATAAAAAAGAGCTCTCCAACAAACGTCCGTGTGGGAGGCTAGGGTTAACAAGTCAAGAATTCTGTTGATGTTTCTGTCGATATCTGTACTCAGATTTCCACGTAGATGTCATAACAGTATCCGTTTCAGATAAAAAATTTCCACAACTCCTCACAATCAATATCTAAGACGTTCCATGCATGATGTAATCACAGGGTCCAGAGGAGTTTCGTGTGAATAAATGAATTACTTATTTAAAGTCTCACCTTAAAAAATGTCTATACCTGTCGCTTAGCACGATTAATTAGCCCAATGGGATCTTTATGAATCTACCGTGAACGATTTCTTGGCTTCTTATCTGACCCAGATCGACTTTGTCGTTCGCCATTTTGAAAATCAATAACTGCAAGCCTCGCTGGCGCACGGCACGTCTCCCGAAGCCCTCAGTCTTTTGCGGTATGTAGAATGTGTAACGAAAATGTAACAAAATAACCATTTTTTCAGCGGTTTTCGACGGGTTTTGATGTTCTGTTCGAAAAACACATCTCCTCTGGGGGGAACTTTTCCCCAAACAGAGAGCCTGTTCACAGTCTGTTCACAGGCTACTCTGGACCCTGACCCTGTGCGTAATCAGCTCTTTCCCATTCTTTGCTCGGAGCAAGATGTGTCAACACGTGTATCCTGTTTCATAGCAGTCGGGTTTAATTTTCCTTTTCATAGCAGTTGATTTGCTCGGTGAAAATGACAAACTTGAAGCTCAAGAACAGTTTTGAGTCTTTTGTCTGGTGGTGTGAAGTTTTCAAAGAGCCACTTTCCCGCAATTTCGATGGGGGCTGCTAAAGTCGACCTTCTGCAGAGGCTGAATGGGCGACCGACTATGCTTCAGACTGTATGCGTGCACGTCAACTCGAATTTTCTCTCCATGTAACCTTAGTGAAGATTATTTGGATTTTTGTCGAAATATTTTGTCTTCGTAATTGTAATCTGCGAGATTTTTCACTGTTATGAGCACAATCTTGAATGTTTTGACGTAGAAAGATCGAAGTCATTCGGTTGGCAGGGTAACTTGCTACGTCATTCGAGAGAAAAATATGGCGGGAAATAAGAATCACGGTTGATCTTTATCAGATCGAATGAAATTTATCTCAGTCAAATATGGTCTTCAAAAGAAAGGTACATCAACAAAACATTAAATAGTACTATCAACTTCTTTGTGATTTATTTAAAATTTAAGTTTACCACTCACTTTACGAGATACCATGTATTAAGCTTATAGTTCATCAATGCTGCACGGAATTTTAGGAACACTTTTTTTTTTCAGTAATAATGTTGTTTTTCCGGCCCAGGCTGAACATTCTTATTTTTCTGCCGATTTTAGGCAGAAAGTATTCGTGTATTATTCTTAGATTATGGCTAATGACGTTTCCGTTTTAGACTATTATAATTAGTGCAGGTTTTTTCGTTTTGTTGCCTAGCCAGTTCCCCTTTAGAGAATGGAATAAGTTGAAAACATATAATTGTATAGTATTTACAGCTTTTGAACACACAAAAATATATCCTTTTCAATATCTCAGCTTGGGGTTTATTCTTAAAATATTCTTAAAATTTTGCAAATTTCAGCCTATATATATTCTTATAGAAAAAAAGAGTTGTAAATTAACGCGACTTAAATTAACGTGAATTTGGTGAAAAACAACTTTCACATAAAAGAAATTAATGCAGAAGAGAGGGTAACATTTCAAAATGAAGGAAATTAACGTGACACTAACAAAGAAACAAAACTTGTGGAGAGACAACAGAAACAAAGTTAAACATGTAATCTGAAATGGAAACTTTGTTCATTTTCCTAAACAATTCAAGTAAAGAAATCTGGTCACATTGGAGGGTTCTTTGCAGTTTCACTGTTGTCGGCAGATCTCCCCTCTGATGAAACACTCCTCTTTCAAAGGTGTCAAGAATGTCAGTGTATCCAAAATAATGGAAATTAAATGCGAGGTTAAGTTAATGCCCCACTTAATTAATGGTATGGAAATTAACATTTCAACAAATTAACCCGACTTAAAAGTAAATTTTTAAGTTTCCTGTAATAAGGTAAAGCTGGCAAGTAGCAAATGAAAACTCTTTAAATGCATAGAAGTTTCTTTTGTTTTCTTCTTTAGTGGCTACTTGGTAACATCTCCAAGAATTTTCCGTGCTGGTAGCACTCAAAGGTTGTCTGTTAGCCTTTTCTCAGTCTCAACCCCTTGGGATGTGAATGCCACAGTTGTATATAACAATGGAAGAGGAATTATTGCAAGCAATGAAGGGAAGTTCACCAGCCTTTCTGATGGCTTCTTGAATCTCAAGGTAATAATAATAATGATAATAATAATAAAAATAATAACATATTTATTTCATGAAGTGTTAAGTAGGTAAGCACGACTAAGTCTTGGGAATATCTTCTAAAAGATTCTGTTAATATCACAACTGCAACAAGGATTACCTGGTAATTGCTTTGTCAGGGAGAACTGCTGATTTACAGATACAGTCGAACCTCCATGTGTGACCACTTCTTGTAAGCGAACACCTCCCATAAGCAACCACCTATCATAAACACCAAACTTTTCCCAGCCAAAGCCCTACTATAGTTAAAACCTCTAGTAAGTGGCCACTAACTCTTTGCATTTTGGGTGGTCGCATATGGGAGGTTCAACTGTACCTGTAAATTATTACCTGACCAAAAAACAGTTGCTTATCATCTTATTCTAATAAATAATTTGTTATTAACAGATCCCCAAGGATTTGAATGCTGGGAGGGAAAAAAGCATTGAAGCTAAACTGATGGTGACTGGCAGACCAGTAGGGGGAAAACAAGCCTTTAGAAAGAACAAAGAAATCACCATTGAAATTCCCAAGAAAGCTCTCTTCATTCAAACAGATAAACCCATATATAAACCAGGCCAGACAGGTACATAACAATCTGATCTTTTCTTTGTACATATATGTTGGTTTAAGTGTTTCAAGGACAAAATCCTATACTGTTGAGTGCTTGCTCATGTTTGAACCTTCTATCACTAATAATCTGATCACATGTGTTTTGACCTTCTACCTTGTGTAACTTACACAAAGCACAGCATTCGAGCAAGAGCATTTTGACCTTCAACCTCTCCCGCACTTTCTAACCTTTGGTTTGCTAGAAGACCGCAATGAGCTATGCATTTTTAATAGGAACTAGCTGATTATTATTTGAAAAGCACATCTGGTTAGTAGGTTTATGTATGTGCTGAAGTATGAAGTGTCACATTTAATCACAGGTCGTCGTGTAGCAGTAAATGATGCCATGCCATTATTACCAAGCTAAGTCAAAATAGTGCAAAACTCACACTGTCCAATTTCATGCTTGACGTTATGTGTAAAAAATATACTGTGAATGTTTTTTTGTTTGTAGTTAACATGCGCATTGTTGGTACAGATGAAAACTTGAGACCATTGACAGGAAAGGTAAAAATCTGCTTCTTGCTTCTCCAAGGGCTAAATGTAATGTCAGTGATATTTCAGGTGTTCCCTACAAGCTTTCATGGCTTGGATTGCTCTGTGCTGTAAAATTCCTAACTATGTATCCATCATTCAAACTATCCATGTATGCGCTTACCAACGAACTTAGTTGACAACAACAACGTGGGAGTAATTCTCCAAAATGAAGCAGTTCCCACTTAAGTTACAGTCATCTTTAGGACTGGCAAAGCACTTTGCATGCAACTTAGGGAGATGTCAATCGGGGACAACTAAAGGAAAGCAGGGACCAACTCTATGTGTCTGTTTCACCAGCTTAAGTGGTCGTCATCACTGCAGCATAATTTAGTCATTGTGCCCTTTACTTATGAATAGCTTCTTAGCAAATTCCCATAACATGACATACAACCTTTTAACAGTGCTTGTCAATCCATATAAGTATCCAGTCTCTTTTTACCCACTGAATACCTGTGTTGAAAAGTCTTCCTTCCAGCACTTTTAACTCTCCATCACTGTTTGAATATAGTATACTAATACCTACTGACTTAGTTGAGACCGTCCAATGTATATGTGGCAACCCATTGCTGTGATTACCTTTGCTATTAGTAATTTAAATGGTTAAAGACTAAATGGTTAACCATTTTCAGCCCCCTTTATCCACATATGAATTCTCCATACTGATCGGCATACATTTCTTTAAAGAATGATTACTGTTTGAGAGTTTGATAACAGATCAAAGGATTTTCTCTTTAGTGATCATTTTATTAACACGCATAACCATTTCTCTCGGCAACCTATGGAGAATTGTTAGGAGAAAATTATTGTTGGTCAATATTGGGACTTAAAGGGTTAAAACATTCAGTTGACAACCAAGGCAATGTAGAGGGTGATTCACAACAGAATTACTTCCAGGTCACGGCCTTGTTCAAAAGTTGGATTGTGCTACTTAGTGGAAAAGTAATATGAAAACCAATTGCATATCCACTTGATAGAGATTTATCTAGTGGATAGCGTAATCCATCTTTTGAATAACTGGGGGCCAGAGTTCTAGCAGTTTCTGGAGTCATTACTATCTTGTAATTCACTGTCAGCATTATTTATAACCCTGACCTTTTCTTGTAGATCTCAAGGGTTAATATAACGGTAAGTACATATACAAAATTGTGTTTGTTACCACTATTACATGTATTTTAAATTGTGCAAGAAGGACAAGAAGAAAGCATTTCTCCACTATTAAGGTGATATATACAGGATCCTTGCTGGTATCCATTAAAAGAGAGAGATTGACCAGTTTTGTCAATTTCACTGAAAATATGAAAATATTACTGGTGTATGTGTCTGTTTGAAAAAATGGCTTTGGATTAACGTGGGGCCTGCTTTAAGGGGCCATGTCACCAATATTTATTTCTTCTCGGAAATCAACCAACACCCCCTCTATAGGGCCTAATCATTCTCTTGAGGACTTCAGGGTTCTCAATAGATTTTTAAGTAGGAGGTGATCACTGATAAAGTAGGAGGCTCTTCAGCAAAGCCAGAGGTGTCAAAACAAAGCAAAGAAAAGCGACTTAAACACAAAGTAAGCGGCTATAAATCCCAAAGTAAGCGGCGATCAATCGCCGGGTGCCGCCTTCTATTGAGAACCCTGGGACTTATGAAGTTTTTTCAGAATGCTCAAAGTGTGTAAAATTTCGAATAAGTCCAAAGAGGTAATTGCCCTTTTGACATGCTCAGACTGAGTTATAATTCCAAAATTACTAGCTGTAGTTTTGTTACATCTGGTGTGCCTTAATATAATGCCACCTTTAAGGCAAACACTTCTAAGTTTCTTGCTGATATAATTTTTCACTTATCAAACGTTTTAATAGTTATCTCAACATTTTTGTTTTACATTTGATTTTAGAACCCGATTCGTGTGAGCAATATGCAGTGGGATAACCTTGATTTTAATTTTGGTAAGCAAAACCAATTTTAAGGATATAGTATTCATACAAAAGTCATGTACATGTACATGTGTAAGCTTTGTTGAACAATAATATTACAGGAGACATAAGATTGTGAGGCATGCAGAGGGTGGCCAGGACACGTGCAAAGGAGAAAATAGTGATTGTCATACTAGAAACCTAAAATTTTGTGATACTTGCTGAGGGTATCTAGGGTTCTGACACATCACAGTGCCCCAAAGTACAGCAGTGACAGATGTACAGGAAGTCTAAGGTAGCAAAGAGTAACCAGAGAAGTGACACTTACATAGGAGCCCAATGTGGTGATGCATTCTGGGATACCCAAAGTAGAGTACCAAGGATGCCAAAGTAGTAACAAATACACAGGCCGGGGCCCAGTGAAGCTTGTCTTATGATCTTGTCTGGTTCTAAAAATTGCCAAATATCATGCACAGTTTTGTCCTTTATTTCTCATGAATTGAGGTTCTACCTTTAGCCTTGTTTTATGTGCACATGGTACACATTGCATAGTTTTTTTTGTTTAAAAAACTAAAGACACCCTTATTTTCTTTTATAATATAGGAATAATAAGCCTGAAATTTCCTTTGTCAAGCCAGCCTGTATTGGGAGACTGGAAAATTGAAGCCTTACTCCAGGTATGTTTACATTTATGTGTTTGAAATCCATGCTTTGAGTGAAGGAAATTAATAGCAGTAACTTTAAAATGTGGTTAATTGACTCTCGTCAACAACAGGCTATAGAGGACATCACTGTTTTACAAGCATTGGTTTTGTTATTTAAATTTGTAATGAATGAAACAAAAGAATCTTTTGCTCCAAGAACCAGTGCACTTCTGGTTGGCATTTTAATATCCATAGGTGATGTCCACATGAGTATTGCTCTAAATGTTTTAGCTAAGGGGTCACATTTTGCTACCCTGTGAGCAGAGGCCCTTCGATCTTCCTAGATTAAGATAAGGCGGGAATTAAGAGGAAGACTTATCTAGGAAGATTGAAGGGCCTCTGGTCACAGGGTACTTGCAACATAGTGCAGTCTCACAGTCTTTTTCCTTGTTGTAGTTTGTATTTTCTACTGAAAGTTTGGGAGTGTTATAACTCCATTTATACAGACTATGAATCATAGTTACCACGTGCACTGAGTGAAAAGTTCCTCTCTCAGCAGATCACTCACTCTAGTTAAATTTATAGGCATTTGGAATCTGTCAATGAGTTACAAAATTTTAGCACAATTTAAAACCTGCTTAATTTAAAATGTTGTTCATATTGCAGGATGAAAAGAAGACATTAGTTTTCAAGGTTGATAAATATGGTAAGTTCTCAATCACAGTATAATACTACCTTAAGTTTTATTTTCCTGGACACAACATAGGCAAGGCCGTAAATCATGGAAAATTGAGAAACTTATTGGGCACGGTAAGACACATGTACTGCCGTCAAACCCACATATGACTATTTCTCAGATCCCAACTTTTCTGCAGATATCAATGAACTGTTAACAGGGCTTGTTGTTGTTGTAGGTGGGGGGGGTTTGCTTGGGCCATTGCTTGCATGTTTTTTGAGTTTATGGATAAGTTACTAGATGACTTGCATGGACCCTTGCCTGCTGGGCAAGGGTGCTTTAAAACTCATTAAGGTACTTGCTTAGCAAGAAAGGCTATGAAAGGCCTTGCATGCTGCCTAACAGGTGCCTTAACAATTTGTCCGCAGGTGACCAGAATTTCAGACAAGGAGCCTGCACGGGCGCCTAAAGACTTTTAATTCTTATGTCAACTTCCCAGTCAACTAATGACAAAATTCCCTGCTCATTCTGCATTTTGAAACGAAAATGAAAACTTTTGGTCATCGGCCATAGGCTGTTGTAGGGCATAACTATGCTCTTGCCTTTCCTTGGCTAGGGGAACAAAATTTCACTGTGTATAAGCCAGATACTTTTCATAGACCTGACTTTGGTCACCATGGTAATAATGCTGGTAATCCCAAGCAGGTTGTAGCCCTATTTGCTGTTGGTGTTTCACTGTGTAACAATGAACATGTATGTTTTTGTTATGCAGTGTTGCCCAAGTTTGAGGTCACCATAACACCTCCATCCTTTGTGGCATATACAGATAGAAGTAACATTACAGCAACTGTTTGTGCACGGTAGGTTTATTTTAATCCTCATAGAAATAAGTATGTCAAAAGTATACTTTTTGCATACTGCAAGCATACTAATTCTGTACTAACCCACATGGCTGTACATTTACAGTATACTGTTAACCTACTGCACACTAACAAGTGTTACCATGATTCTATACTTGAAATGTACTTCCACAAATTGACCCCACAAAAGTACAATTCCCGTATACTATTATTGTGCTACAGTCGACTACATACTTAAATTACGTTACGTGAGTACAAGAATAAGTCTATACTGGAAATGTACGGGATCAAATCAGTCCGAAATTCCATTATACTGCTTTTGTACTGTATGATTATTACAGCACAAGAATAATAATATTATATACAAGGAAGAGTTTCACCTATAGTGCCATTCTCATATAATATGGAAATGTCTTTATTGCAACCTTTGGAAGATCCTGTGTTGTTGATTAAGTAACAAGAATATCATACAAATACAACAGCTGTCAACAACAATGGAGCTATGTGGTTTGAAGGAATAAAAAAGATTACTGAAGGGCACTATAATCTTTTCCTTTATTTGATTTCTTCTAAAAGATGGATAATGTGGTACAATCTTTGACAATGAAGGCTTCTGATACTGCATCATTAGTGAACTATTAAGTTCTGACAATTATTATTTTGCTTTCATTATCTGCAACGGGGCCCACTGGGCCACTTTCATGCAAATCTCACTTGAATTCCCATGAAGCTAACAATAACAGTTTAAATGAAAGATTAAATTGGTGCTATGAACTTTTGGATGGGTGCATTTTAGAACTTTGCTCATTTTCATTTTTAGGATAATCGTTCCATTATACACTTGGGAACGGAGCACAATTATAATTACAATACAAATCATGTACACTTAATTAATTACTGTAAGAACATCATCATACAAATAGGAATTAATGAGCCAGTAATTAAAGATCTTCACACAGGATATTACAGGTAAAAGATCTTTAAAAAATAAATAAACAAATTAATAAATAATTACTTATTCCTTTGATTAAAAGGTTAATTTAACCAACGTAGTCCGTGTTTTTACCCAGTCCTCAATCCGTGGTCCGCAGTCCACGTGTTGTACTGACCGTATATGTAGTGGCATCCACTCAAGGCTCTTTTGTTTGTTTAGATTGTATATTCTTTGACCCGTAAAAGCAAATCTGAAGATAAGAAGACCTGTAAAAAATACAGATTGGAAAGCTTTGACCGGCCGCCTGTCATTAAAGACACTGTACTTTAAACAGTGCAATCACGACAAGCTATTAAACTTGGATCCATTCGTGCATGCATTGAAGCTTAAATCAAAAAGAGCAAGAAAAATTGTGAAGTGTAATTAAAACGACCAAAAATACAGCCGTATGTACTCACCTTAACGTTCCTTTTTTTCTTCCATTCGGCATTGATATTCGATCTTCACTTGCGAACTCAAGGCGATGACGAAGCTCAAGCAGTTTCCTTTTACTCTGACCTCAGTTCAGAACTCATGCTCGTCCCTCACATATTGTTCATTAACTTAACCGGTTAAAAAAAATCAGCATGTGTACATAAGATGTGAAAGAGTAGATCGATCTCCAAGATGGCCGCACTCGGACGGGACGATGAAAGACTGGATCCTAGCACCCGTGTTTTCACGGTTTTGGCGCGAATTTCTGAACGCGGCTGCCAAACTCTCTTCATTCGTTCAATCACAACAAAGATAGAGATGACGTGTAAAGCTGAACAGAGCAGAAGAACAAGACTTTTATTTTTCCCTACATCGATGAAGATTTCATTTTAATAATCAGAGACTAACGGCTGAAAAAGTAAGTGTTGTCCTTTACGTACCTTTCGATAAATGGGTTCTCTTTATACTTTTTCACTCTTTTGTAGAAAGATGTCAATGCTTGTGAGGTTTTACAGTTTCTTCTCCCGATCTGCTTCTTCTTCTTCTTTTTCTTTTTTTTTTTTACTAAACAGTCCGTGCATTCATTTGAAGTTGAGCTATTAAGATGAATTGTTTTAAACAACAACAAAGCAGCAAAGTTCTTGTAATGAACACTTTCAGTCTAAGTCCATAATACAGGATTGAAAGAAAATTCCTTTTTTGTATTTACTGTCCTACATGTTGTTTAGTGTTTTCATAGCTCGATCTCGGAACGAGTATTAAAAGCATAATATTGAATAATCACAAAATTTGGACTAAAATAATCTTGGATTAAAATTTAAGCAAAATTAATTTTCGAGGAACTGAGCGCAGAATTTTAACACTTTTGGAACAGCTATATAGGCTGTTGAGACTCTGTTGATGGAGTACTTGTGACCCAACCAATATGCGTTTTTCCACCTCATGTAATGGAATCCAAGAGGGTCTTGGATTCTCGATTCCACGCGGTAGATTTTGGATTCCGGGTACTGGATTCCAGCCTTTGTCAGTGGAAACTTGGATTCTGGATTCTGGATTCCAATCGTTAGTGGGATTCCGGATTCCTTGAGCTGTATTTTTGGGATTCTAAGGCCAAGGATTCCGGATTCCACAAGCAAAATGTTCCCGGATTCCGGATTCAACAAGCAAAAAGACTCCCTTACATGGGGTGAATTTTTAATAATCCAGTGATTTAATAAAGTAATTCATTGTTTTGGATGCATGCACTCATAATGATATTAAATCTTAATCCTTGAACACCTTTCCATCTAACAGTAACAGTACAGTATTTGTTACAGTTGAGGACTTTTCTTTTCCTTTTTAGACTGTAACAAGCACCGCTGATGTGTTCTTTATTTCAGATTTTGATTTCAAATTTTTGCGAAACTATAATCAGCTACTTTTTTTCTGTCGCCTACCTGACTATGAAAACTACTTAGCTCATGAAGTTAAATACTTTCTTTATGAACAGTTATAAAGACTTCTGTAAAAATGCCTGTGCCTTGATGGCCAAGCTGAATCAAGGACTCAGTATATAGAAATATAATATATTATAGTATTCAAGCAATGCCAGTTGATCTGACAAAACATTTGTAGTTATTTGAAGTCGCTGACTACTGATGTGAGTATCTCTAAATCTTTTAAGTTAAGAAGATCATCATCAATCAGGATGCAATTTATTTTGTCTAGTTTCATGTGAGAGCTGAAGGTGTTAATTGTTTCATTTAATCATTCCTTTCAACTGAAAATTCCCTTACTGATTATTTTTAAAATTGCATATGTGGCTATAGAGTCTTGAACAAAACATGTTTTGTACTTTCTTACCCACAGGACAGTATAGTGCTCTTTAAGTTAATGCTAAAAGTTTAAGTAATTAAGGTTTGCACTACTTGTTAACCTGCAAACAGGATTTTTGTACAGTCTCCACAACAGCTATTTTGTGATGTTTTATATCTTTTTTAGATAAGTCTCAGCTATATTGTTACCTACTAATTATTGTAAATGTACAGTTTTGATCTAGATCATCCCCATATATTTTTAAATAAATTTTTCAATGTCTTGTTGACTGTTGTTAGACTTTCACTATTGTAAGTATACACAAAGTATACTTTTAGTATAATAGGTATGTATATACTTTGAGTACAGTCTGATAGGTGCAAGAAAAGCAGTGTGCTGAAAGTATACTTCTCAAACTCATTAATAATTCATAAAGAAAATTCAAAGGAAATTAATGTTTAATGATCAGTGTTTGGATATCAGATGAAAAACTGCTCATTTTTGCATCCTTAATTTCTCCTTCAAAAACGATTTTGTTTTAGAAGAAATATCAAAAATTCGACACAGTGTTTCATCACCAGATGAAACACCTCGAAGTTCGTCAAAAATACTCTGCTGCGTGTCGTATTTTCAACTCTCTTCTCGGTGTTTCATCTGCTGATGAAACAGTGCATCTCATGTTTGATAAATTACTTAAAGTATACTTTTCCCTAGTACATTCCTGAGTCCAAAATTCATGCTCCTTTTTGTATACTTTTAGTACAAAAAAGTATTATCTGTGAAGATGTTATAATGTACTTTAAGTATACTATAACTATACTTAAAGTATACTTAGAGTATACTTTTTTCACCCAACAGCAGTATACTTTTAGTACACTATGTTGCGTACTAAAAGTATATTTATTTTCTATGAGGTTAGTAAGGTTGTTATACACATGTAATGTGAAATAAAGTAATTTTTTTTTCCTTCTGCAGAAAAATTTCATATCTAGTGTACCTTAAATTCTATGCAAAAGTAATAAGCTATGAGAGCTCACATCTCAAACTTTAATACGATACACTATACACTTAGCGGTTAAGTCCTCGGAGTGAATCACATACAAGCAAGAAAAAAAAATTGCCACTAAACAGCAGAAAAATAAGATGGAAATTGCTTTATTCCTATTATTAAATAACAGACTGAGATTTATTCTTTTTCCAAGGTTGAACTAAAATTTGTTTTTTTTATGGATTCCTATTAATAAAAAATTATAATTATTCTTGATCAATAAAATGAATATTTTTTGAAAATTTTTATGACTCTTACACACCGGTGCGTGGTGCACAGTGCCATTTATTAAATTAGAGAACAAAATTTAGCGATGTCAATAATAAATCATGAAGGTTAAAAATGTACCTCTCTGGACATCACATCAAACTTATGTGCTATTGCCAAAGTACCTGCCATCTCATACCTGCTCCCATTCCTTGTTTTTTTTTTTTAGTAATAACCATGAATGATGCCCCAAGCTCAAAGTTGCCTTTTGGCAACCTAAAGTATTATTATAAAATGGTCACCGGGTGTATTAAAATAATATTGGCCACCAGAACAATTATTTAATAATAAAGTCAAACCTCTCTACAATGGCCACCTTTGGGGACAGAAGAATGTGGCTGTGGTGGAGAGGTGACCGTTATGGGAAGGTAGGGGTGTAATATGACAAAAATTTTTTTGGGGGAGTACAACATGTTTATTGTGCTAAGTTCATGCTTACTGTATATCATAATGTCAATCCAATCAAAAATAATATACAGAGAGATTAAATACTCAACTTGAATAATGTTTTGAATGAAAATGTTAATGTTACAAAATGAACAAGTATCGTAGACAATTTATGCTTACTGCAGCAGTATAAATTAAAATACGATTCTATGATTAGTCATCAACATGCCTCATGGATCAATTTTTGTGACCATTCCTGACTTTTTCATCAGTCACTGAAAAACTGGCCGTTGTTGAGAGGTTATTTTGCCAGTTGATGACGTGCTTTATTAGTGGCCATTTTAATTGCCGTTGCAGAGTAGTTGAAGAAAGAGTCAATGTATGGACTGTTTGCCGGGACAAAAAAGTTGTCATTGTACAGAGGTTTCCATTAGTTTGACTGTACAATACTACATAAAGGTTCAAAGAATCAAAATGGCTGCCAAATTCTTGGTAATGCACACAACATTCCAAGGCTTTAAGTTAATACCCGGACACCAGGGTGAAAGACGCAAATCATAAAATGGAGCATAGATAATATTTCACGGGGAATGAAAACATTTAATGGTGACTATAGCTATTGTCAGCTGGGTCTTTACAGCTCAAATAAACCTTTGGCGATGCCCTGATTGTATTTCCTCAGCGGCCTATTTCCAATTATTTGACAAGCACCCCGCAGCTTTCACATGGCAGAAAGATTAAGAGTCACGTTTACGCCAAACGGCAAATGTCAGATTTAAGTTGAGGATTTCTCAGAATAGAAACTATGCAGATAAAAACAGCTCACAACAATTCTAATGGATAAAACTGGCGTGAATCTACTTATTATTTTGAGTAGAAGTAATAAACATTTAAAGACAATTAACTTGGTACAAATTCACTTTTTAAGGTTTGGCATAAACGAGATTCTCAATCTCTCTATTAACTCCCCCACCGCAAATTTGCTGTATGTGAACCAAAAAACCAACTCGTAACCAGCTGTTTTATACCACAGATACACCTATGGACAGCCTGTGAAAGGGAAGGTCAAAGTACTGTTTAGGCTCAAGTTGTCATATTTGCACAGACACAGGGAAACACAAACCACAAAGGAAAAGGAAGTGAGTGTCATATCATTTAGTGTAGTAGAAATATTAAGGTTCCTAATACTTTTCACAAGTATGGGACCATAGAAAAGCTACAATCGGTTACAAAATTGTTTAGGGTAACTATATAGAGAGAACAAAAGAGTCCACACCTCTTCCCCTACCTTCTATTCAAAGTTGGGGTGTTTGTTGTTTTCTATTGGTAGCTGACAACATTTCATGGAGGGGATGAGGGAGGAAAAGCTTTAAAATGTCAGAAAGCCCCTTTAGGGCAAAGTGTTTCAACTAATTTTATCGCTGATTGTAGACCCCATTAGGGTGAAATCTGGTGAGCAATACGGCCTTGAAACGGCAACAAAAGGCAAATGAAATGGTGACAAATGACAAAGATGGGTTGAAACTGTGACAGCCATTAAGACAAGCACAAAAGCAATCGTAAAATGTTGACAGGGACATGGCTTTCCTCTCAAAAAGTGAAACAAAGGGGTTTGAAATTTAGGCCCTCTCCACAATTCGATGCATTTAGGCCTTTTTTCAACACTAAACAATACGCTGAGTGTTATCATCAAAAATGTATTGATTTGAAAACACTCTTGATAGTGGATCAAAATGAAAATGCGCACATATCTTATTGGTGTGGACGGTCGAAAACGCATCAAAATGAAAATGATGACCAAAAATATCGCAGGTGCATGTGTTGGTAGCATGGGCAAAGAGTTTAACTTACGTCACAACATGCAATTCTATTGTTTGAAATGTTTTAGTGTGCATGGATAGTGGAAAACTTGTCAAAAGGGTAGTGTTGACATGAAACGATCAATGTGTTTTCAATGACAACATAACTTTTGAAAAGGCATTAGTGTGGTCAGGGGGCCACTTTAGACCAGGGACATGTGTAGCCACTTCAAGAGGGCCCAGAAAACACGTGAGTCATGAGATGAGAGGTAAAGAAGAAACTCTTAGTAAAGTTAAGGAGGCTCAACAGGATGCCTAAGTTTGGGCATATTCTGATCTATTCAACTATGGTCATATTTCTTGGCTTTACATGGTAGCTAGGTTTTTTAGGAAATTTGCAACTTTAGGTTATGCTCACAAATAACAAAAATCCTCACTTGTGGGGTCGCATTGCAGACTTTTGACTTCCCCTAACCCTTTGGCTTTGCTTGTGTCTAGCCGTCTTATTCCTTTGCCTTTATGAGGGGGGCGTAGGGGTTTGCGGTATTGCGGTTTTCAGAGTCCAAGCGGTGTGCGGTGAGTTTAAATTTTATGTCGCGGTGATCTGCTTCTTTTTCATCACAAGAGGATACAAATCCTAAAAGGTCTCCCTAGTTAGCCTGCGTGACCTGCGTGTCTTCCTATAGTTGCACAGTGGGAGATCGTATATTGCGCAAACAGTCCAGACAAATCGTATGGCTTGTAATTTCAGTTAATACTTGATATGATTAACGACATTAACTTTCTTATCCAATGACACGTAAATATGTCGCATTATTTGTAACGTAATGGACCTTGTGGGAATAGTCAGCTTGGTCAACCACCTTACCAATCTTACCGCCACTTTCGTGCCAGTCGCGAAACAATGGCGAGCGATCCAGAGGGTCAACTAAGTGATCAGTCAGATATTCCAGGAAATAGTGAGGTCAGTGAGGTCGTTATAAATTGCGTAGTGTCGAAAGATAATCTATGAAGATGGTGTGGTCTAAAAATTACTACTCGTCCTTCTCGTTGTGCATGCAGGAATATAAAATGTACAAGTATTCGTGTGTGCTTAGCGAGTTACTTGCTTATAAGAGGCTCATGGGAATGTGCCGCTGGATGGGGTCGCATTTTCACGAGTGGATTGACTATAATGGGGTCGCATTTTCGAGAGAGTTACTAGAATGGGGTCGCGCATTTTCTGATTTTTAGGGGTAAGACAGTTCTTCATATTTACGGTTAGCAAACGTACCAGAATTGAATGTTCAGTACTGTAGATGAAACGTAAATTGTTCAGTTCCTTCAATCTAAAAAATGGTCAATTCATAAAAATTGAAAGTGACTAAGCTGGGACCGCGAGAATTAAATATTTGTCCAAAAGTGACTAAGATGGGTTCCATAATTGGCCACAGAATAGACTATAATGGGGTAGGGGCTCTGAGAGGCCAGCGGCACATACCCAGCAAAAAGTGACCCAAGTACCCCCGTTGTATCATTTACGTAAACGTATACATGTTATGAACAAAATTAAACGAGTGCGATGATCTTATGTTTATCGCACGCTTGACTTTGACGCACCTTGATTTGGAAACACTGACATAAAAGTAATATTTCTATTTGAAAGGAAGAATTGTAGTATTGACAACGTCAAATTTTTCCCATTTGTAACTGCGGATTCGGTATTTGGCTAAATTTTGATGCGGTATTGCGGTATTTTCGCGCTACCATGTGCGGTATTGCGGTATTCGTACACCACTTACGCCCCCCTCCTTTATCTTGTCCAATCCAACCCATGCAGCATTGGGGAGACTAGAGACTTGCCCAACTACCACTAGTAGTTGGGTAATGAGTAAAGATTTGTGTTATTTGAGAACATAACCCAAGGTTGCAGATTATTAACCTGCAAAAACATCCGTTTCTTCTCGCTCTTCACTTCAGGGGACGTTTAGTGAGGAGGAACGTCTGCGATCCAGCAGTAGAAATTCAATACTGATGACGCAAATCAATGTTCCTCCGCGCAAAATGTCCCCATGGCCAGTGGCGAAGAGCGAGGAGAAATGGATGTTTTCGCGGGCTAGCAAATTACCTGCCATTGGGCTGTGTCCCCCCTTATTATGTTTGTTTGTTTTGATTGTGTGCCTTATTTTTCGGGGTGACTTTTCATGGGGATCTTAAAAGTGGAATAGGGACAAATCTCATGTTGCTTTGGCACCACTTTTCTTCTTACTGAGGAAGTTGGAAGAACTCTACAAATTCCTTAGAGTTGGATTTGTGTTTTTCTTACGTTTAAATGTTGGTTTCCCAGTTTTTTTTTCATTGTTTTACAGTTAGGCAATAAATAGGCCAGCTGGAACATGCCCCTTGTCTAGGATTGTTTAAGACAGAACCCATCAGGAATTTAGCGAGTAATTTTAACTTCAAGTGGTTGTACCAGAATAATTTAAACCATATCAAATTCTTTTTCACATTTTACAAGGGCTGTAGAATAATGTAATTAATTATCTGTAATATAACACCGAAGGCAATTTCTTATGGGAGCTTGAGAAAACGAATTTCAAATTTCATAGAAATTGTGTAAACGCAGGTAAAATTTCATGCGTAAGATCTCATTTTGGCCCACTTTGTGAAATTTGAAATTATTTTTCAGGTTCCCATAAGAAATTTTCTTTGGTGTTATTACATATAACCGATTTCATCTTTGCTGTAAAGTGTTCTGGTACAAGGTTTTTGTCCACTGAAAATTAAAATTACAGAATTTGCTGCTAGCTTCTAGCCTCCCCGCAGACGTCCTTTGGGGTTCGTTCGTCACGCATTCTTTTCTGGGGAGAAATGAATGTACGACGAACGAACCCCAAAGGACGTCTGCGGGGAGGCTAGATGGCTTCCGTCTTAATATGTATTAATTTCTTTGTTTTAGATTTATGGCTGCACTGAAGTCTCAATCAGTCCAGGAGGACTATTTCGTATTGGAAAAGGAAATGACTACCCTGACTATTTGTCTGGTGCTAAAGTTGTCATAAATGCCACTGTGACAGAGACAGCAACTGGAGTAACCCTAAATGCTACAGAAACAGAAACACAGTTTGTCAGAGAAACTAAAAAAGTGGAGTTCCTTTCTACCACCCCCACGAGTTTCAAACCAGGCATGGCATTTACTGGGCAGGTAAAGAATGTTCACTTTTTGTGAGTTATCTGACAAAGAGTTGCAAGGCCTCTACACTACAATGCCTCCTTTCTAAAACAGGGTTCGCACAGTCTTGAAAAGTCTTGAATTTTAGGGGAAGTCCTTGAAAAGTCCTTGAATGCCATTTTTCCTTGAAAAGTCCTTAAATTTCTATGCAAGTCCTTGAAAAGTCCTTGAATTTTCTTCAACTTTGAATGTATTGGCCTGGAAAGTGTTTTTTTGATGCTTTTGGGAAGGAAAACAGCCTGAGGTAGAAGGTGACAATCGATTGTGTACCAGTAATGCTCCCCCCTTCGCGTGTTTGTTTTGAAATAATGCGATGTTTCTGCTAGAGATTATGCTAATTTATGACCCGGTTTATGACAAACCTCTATTGAGTGGCCGGCCAACCTCCATCAAGTGGCCACTTGCCGGCACCCCGACGGTCCCTGCTTAATGGAGGTTCAACTGTATTTACAACGAATTTTATGGTATAATTAAGTAGTAGATGTTATTAATTAATTAGTTATTAATCGTGCTCGTCAAAAATTTCTTTGGGCTACTCTAACTGACTTTCGGGCTAGCACATGCTAACTACAGCTTGCTCTTCACTGATTTTCTTGGCATCATGATGTTTACCTCATGTAGTTGAAAGCCACTCTGATTGATGGAAGCCCACTCAAAGGGAAGTCAATTGAACTCATTGTTAAAATTCCTATTGAGAGACCATGTTGGGTCTCGAGCTATTCAGAACAAGAAGTGTTCCGAAAGAAATATGCTGTTCCAGAAAATGGAGTCATCAGTTTTGTGGTTCCTGGTAATCAAATTTCACAGAAGGCAAGATCCCTGACGCTGGAGGTATGCTTTTCAATTTTAGCTATTTGTTATTATTAATTAAAAAGAAATAAAGTCGAACACCAATGCAATGATCAGCATTGAGATAACATTACCTTTTGTTGTTCTTTTGTAAGAGATGTAGGGTTTGCATAATAAATTATTATCCCCTTTAAGTCCCTAAAGTGACTAACATCAATTTTATCCAGTACATGATCAAAAGATTAGACTGTAAAGAAAAAAATTGAAAAAAAATGTTATTTTGATGTGCTTATTCCTCGTTATCAATTTTTATTGGTAGGCAAATTACAATGGTAAACGTACAAGTAGCTATAAAGTAGGGCAGCGTTGGCTTTCTCCAAGTGACAGTTATATTGAAATGGAAAAGATCACCGCTCCATTGAAAGTGAGTAAACTTTTGCAATAAATCGTGAACTTACTTGTTGTTATTTTGTGCTGGACCTGTGCTACTTACCATTAACATTGCTAAAACCGTTAATTCCGTTTGGAAAATCAAATGGTTCGCGTCTTTCCTTTTGAGTAGGTTCAGAAAATTTGGGCTGTGATCCCGGGGGTACTGTTCAAAGTCTATGGGGGAGGGGGAGTCCCTTTTGTATGCCGTTTTTGACAGGAAAGGTACCCTTTTCGTATACCATCTCCTGACAAAATATGGTAGCCCTTTCACATAACTTACTGAGAACTTTGCATCCTTAACTGCTGAAAATACAGTCTTAAAATTGTAAATAATTCTCTAAAATGGGAGATTTTTGCGACTTTTTCAAAGCAACAAAATCCTTCTGTTTGCCTTTTTAGGTCACTTTTACAGACCGAAACGACAGATTTCCCTACCCTTTTTTATACTTCAACAAGTTAAATCCCAACCCTTTCATATACCTGAAGTCTGAAATAGGTACCCCTTTCGGGCAGAGCCTCCCCGTCTAGGTGATGCAATTTTCTACAATCTTTAGTAGATCGGGATATACATTGTAGTGGGTCGATCTCCCACGGTGCACCACGTCAAATTTTACAGGGTTTTTTGTTTATGCACTAGATCTCCAGCCGGGTGGTTTGTGTAATTAATGGTAACCCCTGCATTCTATGCATACTACTAGGGACTTCACGATCCGACGACGCGATGGCAACGACAACGTCAAAACAAACAAACAAACAAACAAACAATAGGTCAAGAAGGCATAACAACAACTTTGCAAGTGCATCACACTTTTTTGTACATTTCTTTGCCTTTTTTACACGACTACGATGTGAAATTTCCTAACTGGACGTTTCATGGAGGACGTAAACAAGCGACGACGAAATTTTATTTTACTCTCACTTAACTTGGATAGGAATCCTAGGAATTCACCTCCAGGAGGGTTCGCCTACTTTTGATAAAGTAAATGGGTAGGAATAATCACGATAAAGACTGTAAGAACGTAAATTCACTTTTTATCACGTCTTCGGATCGTAAAGTCCCGACTACGAGGCATAGGACACCGTATATAATTCCTATGTTTTGGAGCGGACTCCTTTCATTCACTCCAGCTCTTAACCCTTTAATCCCTAAAAGTGATCAGCATCAAATTTCGCCTGGTACTATCAATGCTTTGTAAAACAGAGTGGTCTTGAGAATTACGGACATGATCACACAAGATGAATTCACTTGATATTTTATCAACTTCTCCCCACTACTTCTGTAGGAAATGAATATGGGCAACAAATGAGAATTCAAATTTTGATCTTAGGGTTTAAAGGGTTAAGGGGACCAGGCCGCTCGGTGTACTTTCAGTGGTCAGTTTGCTCGTTTTAATCACACGTTCACAAAAATTGAGTCAAACTCAAAGAAGAGTAGACCACTGTTTGTCGAGTTGAACGATTCTTTGCGTCAGTTTGCGGAAACTGATTTTTGCGTGCAGGGAAGAGAATTATTATATTTTTGCTAGGAGTTAATTTTTGCGATTTTCGGAAAGTCGCGTTCTAGTGGATTCCAATAACATTTTAACGATTTAAATTCAACAGGCACTATTTTTATTAGTTTTGTGTAGCGAAGTTTTTGTACAGCATACCGGTATCTACAGTGGAGTAAATTTTTCAGTTGCGGAAAACTTTTTTTTTGGCGGATCGCCTGAAAAAACGCAAAAATTTAGCACCACACGGTATTCTGTATTTCTTTTGTGCTCTATAGTTTGAAGTATTTATCTGGATATTTCAGTCAATACTCTGATTGTGTGGTTATCGTGAAGAGTATTTGTCACCCTAACTTTTAAATCTTTGGACGAAACTCTGTGGTGTGGTGTTACCATTCAAATGTAAACTCTTTGACAGAATTTTAGTGTAGTTGTACTTTTTTCTGAGAATTCTATATAAGGCGAAATTTGTTTTTTAAGGGTGAAAGGGTGAATCCCAAACTCGTTAATAGCAACAGTTCATTATTTGTTGTCAAACTTTCATATTCAACAGGTTGGATCCAGTGCTAAGATTATGTTTGATTTCACTACTAGCAATGATACTAGAAATATCAACTTCCATTTGCAAGTGAGTATAAAATCATTTTTATTTTAGTTTAATCCTTTTTTTTTCATGACTGCCTTTTCCAACTCCCTGTTTTACTCCTTAGGGTCAAATTGAAATTTAGATTTTGATTGCAACTGTATGATATTTTTTTACAGGCGGCAAACAGTTCTTAGTTATGGCAATTGACAGAGAAATGGCTTGCCTACATAGCAAGCGCTTCCAGTCGAGTTACAGTTGAGTTTTTTAGCTCTCGTAACAACTTTCTTGGCGAACTCGCGCGGAAACGCTCGCTACGCTGGTTAGGAAATGGCATGATTGTTTTGAAGCGTTCTAAGTTACATGGATGTATTCTCTCTTTGTCATTGAAAGGTGTTTAGTCGTGGAAAGCTTGTGGCCCGGGTACGTAAACTACATCCCGTTGATCATCAGCCTGGCATGAAAACATTCAATAATTCCAAGAACGAAGACATGTTCACCAGCCAGGGCTTCATTGAGTTTAATGTAACCCAGAAGATGGTGCCAAAATGCCGCCTCTTACTGTTCTATGTGAGGGATGACCAAAAAAAGGAGACTGTGGCT